TAAGATTCACTCACAAATGTTGGTGCTGGTGCTTGCATCATATTCCACTATTAAATTGACAATATTTCAGAATATCTTCCTGACAAAGATATTCACCTTTTCTTGTTCAGGACCAGCCTTGACTACCTTTCTTTAAGGAGTTCCTTTTCAGTTCAAGAATAAAAACTAGACAAAGGAGGTCCTGGGTATAAATGTTCCTTGTTACTCAAATATATCAATTCTTAATGCTTTAATTCATTCTAACTCAAAGGAAAGTTGCTGTAGAGCACTAGATCAGTTGTGCATCCTAATGGACCCCAGACAGAACATGAGATCATTTAATTTCACTGTGAAAATAGGATTGGTTATAGTCTTGTGATAAAAGAACCCAATAGACAGACAAACAAACAAAGAAAAAAACCCCAAAAGACTGGAGTCTGCTTCACATCACTTTGATGTGAAAGAAACTGATGGTAACATCTTTGTAGAAAAGACATAAAATGTGAAACCTTGGCTGTCAAAAGCAAAGCACACATTGGCAACGCATCTAAGTCATAAAATTTATGTCAGGATGAACCACTGCTGCAATGTAAACTTTCAATTCATGCTGAATGAACTCTCTTCTTACCAAGTAAACCAAAATAATCAAATTGTAATCTTCACCTCTGTGTTATCTCTGTAGGTCCAAAATTTAATTCACAAAATGGTGACTGACATTTACAGACTTTGGGCTGAATCCTCAGACACACAAGTACCTATTTACATTGGGTGTAAACACTCTTGCTTCCTGTGAGTTGTTTTGGTATATTATGGCATTTTTCTTACCAAATTAATTCTTCAGCATTGATGTCTTTAACTTCATATTGGCTCTGCAAACCATTCTGTGAGAAATGAGGTAAGGAGGGAAAAAAAGTAGGGGCATATTGCACCCTACTTTTGTTACTTAGTTATTATATTGATGTGCCTTATTATTTTCATGCTTAGGCATAGCTCCTCCCTCTTCGCCATAGAAAGCAAAGAGTATCTCCAGGTATCTATTTTTATTTATGTGTACAGAATCTTCAGTAAATTCCTACAGATTATCGCTGTGAGACTTAGGGATATTTTTAACCTCACTTATCATATTTGCAAATATTTTCTGGTTTTCAGATACATCAAACAGCAAAAGGAGAACACCTAATGCCAGTCAGCCAACCTTGTCTTTACTGTAGTATTAAGCTACAGCTTTTTGATAGCTTCCCATTCAGTACTAGATTTTATTTGAAAGAAAAAATATCTAGGAGATTTTTTCCTGCCATAAAGTTTATTTATTCAGTAGCAAAGTTTGTGTTTCAAAACTCTGTGTCTCAACTGAAAAATTCAAATCAGAATTACTGCTGCAGTGCACTGTCAGTGCTGCTGCTTAGTGTCAGCTCCTGCACAAGATTACCTCTCCAATGATCTATTGCTCCTGCTTTTTCAGAAAACATCCTGGAGGAGAATAAGAGAAAAAGGACCATAAGTACATGTTTTTATAAGGCATGTCAGAGACATTTCTAAGTCAAAATAATGATGCTTAAGGAAAAAAAAGTTTTAGCTAAACATCGAAAATATTTTTGTTTCTATTCCCTTACTGAGTGAATAATATTCTTGTGAATGTTTTCTGAAGAAAGAAAATTTGTGAGTGTTGTTTTGTTGGTTCAGCTCTTTCTGGTATTGATCTTGTTCCCTCTTGTGTTTTCTTTGAAATGCAAGGCATTTCTGTGTACTGCTTGCAACCTGCTTCCAAGTCTGTTTCCATGATGTTTTGCTCTGATAATGGTTTCTTCAGATGCTCAGCAGCCTGGCCAAGACTTAATTGGCTAGTTTATTTTTAAATGAAAATGAAAGAACGTTCTTAAAAATTTTTTTCTAACTATAGGTCTGAGATTGCACCACATACCATTGCAAGATGGTCTGAGGTGAAGAAAAGAAAATCTGTTTGATAATACCTCTTTGCCAAAAATACACAAATTTTTGGGCCCTGCTAGTTGATGCTCTGACAGTGGGAACAGTGAAATGCTTGTAAAAAGTCTAAAAAAGGCTGTGCCTATGGAAACACATGATTTCTCCTTCAGGCGTCCATGGACTTCTCTGCATTACATTGTGTTGCCTTTTGTATTGTTTCATTTTGACAACGGTGTTGTGATGGTACATGGAAACTCTAAGGTATGGATTTAGGCCTTCTTACTTGGACACTATATCTGTTTGGAAAGAAAAGATGGCAACTCTTCCAATGAACTTACAATCTTATTTCCTGTGCGTCAAAGAGAGAGGTTTGGAGTTGTTTTTGAGACAGCACCCAGATATCTGGGAATTGATCTCTTGGGCTTGTGTATGATATAATGATGTCCTATCCCTTCTTTCAAGAGTCAAACCTGGCAGGGAGATGGGTTAATTTGTTTCCATGCAATAATTGATGTGACATGATTATCCTTTTTATTGCCTTCCAGCATACACATGGACATTATGTGGCAGCAATTCCATATGACACCTTGCAGGTTCACCTGGGCTGGTCTTCTTCTCCTGATGCAGGATGAAGTTTATCATGTCTGTCGCTCTTTGTTACATATCTGGGTACTAATACCCTCTGAAATGAGTTACCTAGAAAATTTATAAAATCTCTCTTGCTAGAGCTAATGCTCTAAGAGCTGAGGCCTCATGGGTTGCTGAGTTGGTGTTAAATGTGGATCATCAGGTTGTGGGACTTTGTTTTTGCTCTTATTAAGGGTGAACAGCCTTGCTAAAGACTGGACTATCTTCTCAGGTTGGCTATAGGTCTATTGTGTTTAGAGAGGATAAAGGACTGAAGAGAGATCCTACCCCACAGCTCTGTGTAGATACAAGCATGTAAGTCACAAGTGTAGTGCTTGTTTGATACTCTGAAAATATTGAACACCTTTCTTCTTAATCAGGAGTCATAGCTAGTATGTACAACAAAGAGATATCCCAGATCATAAACGAACAAGTTCTCTAAAACACACGTACATCATTAGTGCATAACTGACAGATAGCCTGCTTCTTGGGCACCAGCTGAAGAAGTAACTATGCAAAGTTAATATTATATTCTTTAAAATGTTAAAAATCAATAGAAGAATTGTAGAAAATAATGTGTGTGAGAGAGCTAAAGAAAATATTTTTAATACCTCCTTTACCAATAAATTGTTATGGACAGGTATATTGCATTTTAAAATTGCAAAAATAAGTCTAAAAATAGCCTAATATTACACACAAGAATTAGAAACATCTGCATTTGCAATGTTAAAGTAATTTCTTACCTCCTATGGACATCAAAAACATGCTGAAAAACTGGAAGATGTTTCATGTTTGGACAGTATCAGAAGACCTGAAAGATAAATCATACATAACCTGATTGCACAAACTGCTTTAAGCAACACCTATTTATTGCAACATGGTTTACACCACAAGTTAAAAGAAAATGTGTAATGAGAGCCAAGAGACTGGTAGAGAAAGAATAATATAATTACTGATAAGGCACTGTCTTTCTGTGGGTCATGTGGAAATATTAATAACAGGAGGGTATTTTATGTTTTTAATCATCGGGTATCCCAAGCAGATTACAAAAGAGGAAAGGATAGTTATCACTGTTTTATTGGTGGGGAAGTGCAGATAGAGAAGCAAGATAAATTCAAATGGAAGCAATTGCCCAGAGTGACTTAGCAGTCTAGAGCAGAGTTGGGACTGCAGCCAGCATGTCATGAGACCTTTTCCAGCAGGTTACCCAATTGGTCATGCTTCCTCTCAGTATGTATCCCACAGTACCACACTGCCTGTTATACCCAAATCTGACCTGTTACTGTGAACACACCACAAGTTCTTAGAGCTGGAGGCATTAGAAACAGCTGCAGTTGCCTAGCAGACGAAAGATACGTCCATTGTCTAAAAAGGACAGCAGATTTGCTCCAAATGTGTGGGCTGGGAAGGCTGAATAACAGTGTAGAGAGAGTGAGTCCCACCATTCTTCACTGTATTATCAGGATCTTAGTTTGTCACTACAGGTTCATGAGGTATCAACTCTTTTATGCTCTTAGGAGCGGATGCCCTGCACTGCTCCTTGCTAAAAACCCTTCTTAGCAGTGAGAATCCTAACTGCTACAGAATACTCTAGATACATCAGACTAATGCACAAAAGCAAAGTTAGTTGCACCCAGCCTTCCTTTCCCTTGAAAACTCTGGCAACCCACAAGAGGCAACGCATCGACACCCTGCGGCAGTGCCCAGCACACAGAGCAAACTGGTCTAGTGAAAGGTGTCCCTGCCCAAGGCAGGGGGTTGGAACTGGATGAGTTTTAAAATCCCTTCCAACCCAGGCCATTCTATGATTCTGTGATAGTTGTGCTCACCCAGCCAGGAGGCTGCTTGCCCAGGTTGTGCCTGGGAGTGGTTCCGAGGAGCCTGCTCCAAAGCCATGCCCATATGTTATAAAAAATTAATGTCATACTTGTAGCTAACTGTGCAACCTCCTGTTATATTACCACCTTCCTCAGAAATTAGAATTTTCTTCACTATCAAGGCTCAGAGTTTAAATCAGCAATATAAAAGTGCACTGGTATTTTTGTGTACTTTTTGATTGTGAAAGGATGTGATCACGTGTTGGGTAAGACAGTCAGCTCAATACATGGGCTGAGTTACAACTCTGTGGGGGCAGCAGACCAGATGGGAAGATCCTTTGTACCCAGACCCTCTTAAACTCTTCTGTTCCCTTTCAAAAGCAAACAAAAAAGTCAGACTCTTGTCTAAATGCTCAAAAAGTTAAATAAGTATTTACCCTTTAAATAGGTTCTCTTAAAATGTCTTTTCCGTCACAGTAACCTCTTGATTTGCAACCAACAGTGGATATACCAGTAATGTGTTTGCTAAGTACCTCTGTGCACATTTTTCTTACCAGTCGTCTTTATTACAGTAGTTTCTTTGCATTTCCATAATGGCCAGAGCTCCCACCTGCAGGAGGGAACAAATCGTGGTAAATGCTATTGAATAAGGAGCTGTCAGAAAACTAATAGAACCAGTATCTCCTTTTTGCAGCTTGCTATATATACAGTACTTTAAGGCTATGCTTTAAGATAATCATAGTAATTTGTTAGTTACAATATATCTTTTCCAATACAGTTAGTCAGACCGATTGCTACGTAAGCCTGACCTTGCCCACTGCTTCCCCTGAGACTGTCCGGACCAAAACCATCAAGAACTGCAAAGATCCAGTGTGGAATGAAACATTTTGCTTCAGGATCCAGAGCCAAGTAAAAGTAAGATGCAGAATGCATTTGTTTTCCTTTGTGGGCAGAGATGTCATTCAGTGATGAATATATAGGTCAAAATAAAAATAAATACACGTGAGGGACTACACAGATATGGGTAAGGGAATTTGGAGTAGACTGCAGCAGCAAAATTCAATTTGGTTTTTGGATATGTAAAAAATAACCACAATATTTCACAACCACTCATACAATGTTCTACTACTTTTCATTTTTCTTCTTTTTTTTCCCTTTCTTTTTTAATCATTGCTTTTCAAGAATAAGGATGAAAATTTCAGAGTGGATTGAATAGTTTAAAAGACATATATGAGCTGTGTAGGGGAAGCATCACAGGGCTGTACTTTTTTAATATTCCTTTATAATGACCTGCAATTAAAAAGTTACAAAACAAACAGTTAAAATTTGCAAAAGAAAACTAGCTGAACTTTTATCATGAGGATAAATGTTAAAGCTTTAGAAGATTTACAAGTCCTACTGTGTAGTCCCTCAGAAAGACAGCCTCAGCATCAGGGTCTAGCAGTTCACAAAGATCAGTGGGGTAAGCCAAGTAAACCAAGCTTACTTCATATCTGGGCCAATCCATCTCTGTTTTGCAGCCTGCACTGTTCATTTCCCAGTGCTGGTGGTAGATCAGGACTCTCAAGTGCCAAATCAGCAGGCCAGTCCCCTGTCTCTCTCGAACATCGATAAACTCCTCCAAAAGATTATTCAGAATAGCTCAAAGTGTTGCTACACTCTGGTGAACAATCCCTCTTACCCATGACTGCAGAAATTGCCCATGATACATGTTCTCAGGCTTTCACAGAAGCTGGATGGTATGGTCCTGTTGGGTAGATCTTTCAGCTTTAATATGTCTACTCTTCTGTGCACAGCCGGTGCTTTCCTTACTGACCTAAAAAAATTCCAACTGCTTTCAAAATGCCGATGAGGCACAATTTTGCAGTGCCCTGCAAGTTTATCAGGAAGATGAAAGGCAAGGGAAAAACATTGCAGCATGGGAACAAACACCCACTGATCTGTCACTGTTGCACCAGAGCACCTGCTCATGCTAACAGGTTTTTCAAAACTGCATTACCACACAGAAGTGTTAGAAAAATATCTTGGCCACAGGAAGCTGCTTGAACTAGTCCTTCAGGTAGTAGTATTTGGGAAAACCTTACGTTTACAGTATGTTTGCAGCAGGAGACAAGACATGTGACATTAGCCCTGGTAATTATCAGTGTGGCAACAGCAGCGTGGTGGTAGTGGTGGCTGTGGCTTCAGTGTGTGCTGCACAAGATGTGTCCTGGGCATTTGGGATAGCCAGAGCACTCTGGCACATCTGTCACTGTTGTCTCACTGCTGTCTGGCCTCAGCAGACAGCAGAACCAGAATCTACTTGTCTGGTTATTTTCTCCTTCCCTGTTTTGTGTTTTGTAGAGGTATTCATCTTCCCAAATCACAGTAGCCAGAGCTCAGTAAAACTGTGTATTATATTGTCACTGTGGAAGAGAAAAACCTGTTTGCCTGTGTTGTGCTGGTTCTCGTCAGGAACGGTGGTGTTTACCGAAGGGCATCTGCTTTGATGAATGCCTGACAGTCAGCTAGACAGGGCTTCTGAGGCTTGTGCTGTGTGCATGATGCTCCAGGAGGACAACCCTTCCCAGAGTTGGTGGCACACAGCCTTGCCAGCTGGATCTGCCCAGACACCCCTGGCTGCTTCCCACACAGCATCCCAGTGGTGCAGGTGGGGATTCCCCTTAGCCATCCAGCACGTTATCCATGTCCCTCCTGGCTAGCTGGGAGTCACTGAGGGACTCAAATCAGTTAGTCATTAAGAAAATAAGTCAGTCATTTTAGTCATTTATGGACTGTCTATTGCAACATCACAACTACGAAAACTGATCTGCTCTCCAGTGCAAGCCTGTTTTCTGCTAACTGGAAACTATTGCTTTAAGGCATAACCCCTCCGTCACCATCCATAATCCTTTATAGGCTGTTTAAGGCTGGCCTGTAAACCAAGTTGCTGTGGCTGCTTCTCTCTGCCTCTTGTCAGTATTGTGTGGTGGGCAGGATTGACTCTGTCAGTCACAAATAAAGTTGTTTCTCCAGCTGAGGCACAGTGTGATGCATTTACATATGTGACCTTAAAGGTCAACAGCCTTTCTACCTTCTGACAGTAAACTGTAAACTTAGGGTCACTTGCCATCTCTCACTTGCTGGTTTCTCACAGAATGATAGAAGTCAAAATTGAATACTTGGATTCAGGATTGTCTTCCTCCGGTATATTTGTCTATTCAATCACTTATTTAGATTTAGGTGTGGACATTTCTGTGAGACATTATGAACTTTTAAAGTAACAGACTTCACATGCTCACTCTTTTTTATCCATGTGTTTGTGCGTAAGACCATGAGTCTACCTTTGTGTCTTTAATAAGCATCAAACCTCTTAGCAAGTTTCAATTAAATCTGGTGCACAAATAAGAATCTGAGATAAGCACTCCCTGTAATTTACATGAAAATGAGCTGCTGAATATATTGAGGGAGGCCTGAACTATTGCCCCACTGAGAAACCAGCAGTTAATGTTCATTTGCTCAGTGCTCTGGGAGGCACTTCTCAGCCAGCCCATGTCCAGGTACCAACTAGGCAGAGTTGTTACCCTCTCCTGTCCATCCGAAGAAGCAGATGACCACGGGGGGAGAGAAGGAAGTTCATAAAGTAGGATTTGTGTAATTTAACAAAAACATACCAGTTTCTGTAGATTCCATGGTAATTATCTGCATGTGATCTGTTTAATAATTTACAGAATAAAATTATGCAACTATACAGTAGTTATATGGTACATCCTGAACAAATTTTAATTGCTGCTTATATCCATGGATTTTTTTATTCCACCTATAGCAATAAAGTCCTGACTGCTGGCTGGTTTCCTATAATTCACGGAAAATTGGTGACCTCAATCCAAATTAGAAGCCAAACATGGTTTTCAGTATGGGAGCTCAATATTCAGTGGTTCTACTAGCCTTTGTCATTTATATTACTCTACAGGGCAAATCAGCAACAAACTCAACTCTGTGTTAAGTTCAAAATATCTTTCTTCGTCTCTGTGTGGATGTAAAGGTTGTGCATGATCTCTCTCTTTTCCCCATCCTTTCTCTGTCTTCCCAAACATGCTGAGCACATCATCTTATGCCTCTGTAAGGTCTCAAATTAAGATTCTAATTCTGTGCCTCTGTTTGCAGAATATTCTTGAAATGAAAGTCTATGATGAAAATGCAGTCACTAAAGATGACCTCCTCTTCACTGTTCTCTTTGATATTGCTAAAATCCAGCTTGGAGAAACTGTTCGCTTGATTTTTCAGCTAGATCCAAAGGTGAGGGATAAAACCGCTTCGGCCATAGGAAGGAAATATATTTTTTGATATTACCTTCTAAATTCTTTTAGAGCAATTGTAAGTGGGAGGGTTTATTTCCTATTGGTTGCACTTCATATGTCCTGAAAGTACATTCCAAACCTTACTCAGCAAAGTAGACAAAGTTTGCCTCCCTACCTTGGACATAATCCTGAAGGCTTTTATAAGCTCTTCAAGTCTTTTAAGCAGGTTTTTTCTGACATCAGAGTTCCCTTTCCCCCCCTCTTTCTTGGCTCTGTTGCTCAAATAAGTTTCATTGGAAATACAAAACTTCATCACCTTCATTAAAGTTCCTCTGTTAAAATTTCTATTCCTGGCACGAGCACTTGTGAGTTTGGTCATACTCTGGCACAGATGTATTCACTTAAACTGATACCCTGCCCTGTAATTCTTTTCTATATACCTAAATATAACACAGAGATCTGTACTGAGATGCTAAAATCTGTTGATGGCCAATTGCTCAAACTATCTCATTATTTCAATTTGCCTGAACACATACATGATGACTTCAACACAGGATACTATTGCATTTAGATATGACTATAGATTTGCTGTTTCAATGACTTTTCTTATAGGGTGTGTATGGGCATTCAGCTCGATAGTGATTTCAGAAAGCAGTCTACCTTAACTTGTCTGGTGACTGATCAATGTATTGTCCATGTTATAGGATCAGAAGAATTGAGAATATCCTCTTCTATACAACAGTATCAGTCTTCTGATAACATTACATAGAAAAACCCCAAGGTTTTATACATTGTTAAGCCAACAGTATTACAGGTTTAGGAGTGCCTGCCATTTTATTCTACCTCACCAAATGGAAATGGAAAAGAGCAGTTGGCCTGATGGTTAACACAGGAGGGAGAACACTTCTCAAAATCACTGTAACTCGATTGCTTTCACTCATCTTAGTATACCCTAGAGCTGGAGGAAAATTTGATTTGATTGAAGAACTGTTTCAGAAACCAGAATAATCATTGACAACCAGCTAGTGAGAAAGAAAATTAATTCAGATGCTTATAATAAATTAATCTTTTACAGACACAAGAGACACTAGAGGTTGAGTTTACATCGGAGAGCATGTGAGTAAAATCCATATGGAACCAAAAAACTGTCCTTTGGAAGCAGTCAAACACATGTTAGCATTTAGTATAATATAGTTTAAAATGCTTAGCATCACAGTAACAGCTGGTATTGATCAAGTTAGTTGCACATTGGCTAAAACATATTACAAGTATTGTTTGCCTTTATCATTAAAAAAATAAGGAATACACATTTCAGATGTCTCCCAAAATTAGGAATCAGTGATATGTTTGAGACTATGCTGGACAAGACAAACTTCAGGAATGTATTATTCTTTGGTGTTCATGTAAGGATGTATTTAGATGATATTAGTTCTGATTACATTCTATTTTCTCTTTCAGTCCAGTCCCTCCTGAAAAGCTTGTCACTAATGGTGTATTAGTGGTAATTTTAAACTATTGCTTTTCTATCTTTGTTTTCATGATAGTGATGGGATATGGTGAATCTGGCAGGTGTCCCAACATCTCACTGCAGGCAAGGCTGAAGGGGAGGGAGATGGGGGTCAGACAGGCAGCCATCCTGTTGTGCTGCTCCCTGTGGGAAGATGCATTAGGAAAGAATGTACACAGTCATTTGGGATATCCAGAGACCTGTTCACCACCAGCAGCTGATATCAAGCCTCTTAACAAAGCCTGAAGTGCTCTTTCAGTGACTTACTGCCTCTGTGTTATTCCTTCTGGGGACTTCCTTCGTGACTCCCTCATGGACTTCCTCTTCCATAGGATGATATGGAAGTTGCTTCCTCACCTGCCCCAACTCACTGTTTAAAGGATATAGTTCTTGGCTGTCCAGCTTCACTAAAGCAGGGCTTCAAGGACAGCCCTGTGATTTGGCCACCCAGCAGTTTACCCTTGGGAGGCCTCAGGACACTTCTATTCCCTCTATTGTTATTTCCCCTCTCTTCCCATCCTTGGGATGGGGCTTGGATGAACAAAGCACCACAACAATTTTTTGTTCAGCTGAAACCTGATGCATTTTTAGAGTGCCAAAGTCTTTCTCTTATCAGCCTAACAAACACAAGGTGAACAGTTTTCAGACTCCAGGGACTTGGGTGCCTGAAGACAGGTAGCAGTGAAGTGAATCAGAGATGGCATGTTTTATATACTTAATTGTCTCATTGTTCATCCCTGCTACAGTCTCGTGAAATTTCCTGCTTGGAAGTCCTGGTGGACAATAGATGGACAAAGAAAGAACCTTCAGGTTAGACTTCAAACCAGAAACAAAAAACCTGAAAATTTTTTTTTTTTTTTTTTTTTTTTTTTGTGTGTGTGTGTGTGTATTATTTTTTAATCCAGTAATTTGCCTACTTTGTTCTTACAAGGGAGCATAGGAACTGGATAATTAGGAGTCTATACAGGTTCACAGACTGTCTGTGCTAACTAATTATAAAAACTGGACTTTGAAATTAAAGGGAATGATTAGAGAGACAATGAATCTTATAGGTGCTATAAAATAACCATAGATATATATTTCTATCTCAAGTTACATTTTGTCCAACTGCCTGTATGTCTGAACTTTTAACAGTTACTGCTCTTCTATAAACTCTTTCATGGTTTATGATTTGTTTTTGTTTGTTTGTTTTCCTCTCCTCCTTCTTCTTGCAATGTTCCCTTATTGGATAAATAGTTTGGAGGCTTTTAAGCATTGTTGAAGGGCATGTGTATATAAAAATGACAACTTTGGACTGACCATTTAATGTTCTGTTTCTGGAATCATAAATTTCTCTGTATATTTTTTGTGATTTCTTTTATTTAGAAAAAGATTTCTTGTTCTCAGTGAAGGGATCCTATGAAGAGAGCCAGACACTCTCTCTGGGCTCTTTCTGGCAACCTGCGAAGTCCCTGGACTTTCATTACATCAAGTACAGCCTGTCCAAGCTGTGCATGGCTCTGGCAGAGAAGAAGCCTCATTTCTACTCGGTATGTGATCATTAGCTTGAGTAAGCACAGTAAATTCATGGTTTTCTACACTCAACTGAGGCAAATGGAAAGATGTATTTTTAATTAAGAGCCAACTTCAGCTCTGGAAGAGCACTGTAACACCTAAGACATCTAAATATTAGATATGAACTTGAAAACTGAATGGTGACCTCATATGAAAAAAGTAAGTTGGAGACAGTGCATTTCTTTATGGCATATACATTAAATATTTTTCTACATTATGATTTATTTTTCAGTGTACTTCAGGTGAAGAGAAAAAAGACTGCCATGCATCCCTCACTATTCCTCTGGATTCACTTCCATTCAATGAGAAAGTGGCAGTAGCAAAGGTGATTGATACCCACTTCTTAGAATAAATGTGAAGCTATGGACCAAAGATTAATAGGCATGAGTAAATTGGATCAGTGTGAAGTAGGGGTCTAGGTACATAGCTACAAGTGCCCTTAGATTCCTAACAGAGAGGGTTATGGACCTGTACATTTTCATATGAACCAAGTAGAACCAAAAATCGCAGCCAAATTTTGACGGAGGGATTTCTATGACTAGCTGGGGCACTAATACAGGTCAGAGTAAGTGCAAGTGATGAGGCAGAAGGGAACACACTGGCAGAGCTGGTGTTGGTTTTTACTGCATATTGCTCTTTTAGCTTCAGAATAAAACAATATAAATAAAATGGAGTGGATTTGGAGGAGCTTTAAAAATTAGATGGATTTTCTGATTGTTATGGCTTTGTAATTCAACATGGCTTTTAGAAAAAGGAAAGGGCTTCAGAGGTGAAGATGAAAGAACATAAAATAATGTCCAGTGCTTATATTGTGGTTTTGCTTTTTTTCTAGGATGAGACAATCAATTTACATGTGAAATCAAATGACTGGTGAGAAATTATGCCTTTGGGTTTTGTGGTTGTGGAAAAAAAGATATTGCACAGGTTTTTTGCTTTATTACCCTTTTCTCTAACTAAGGGAGAGAGCATTTAGTCAATTATTATTTTTTACATTCTTACCCCAAGTTTGTTACCCATGTCCAGAAGGTGGACATGCGCCGGGTGAATTTTCCTGTTATGCTACTATATAGAAGTTCAGCTTGGATGGGGAGAATAATGTTTTCTGGCTGCCAAATCTGTAGAGCTATGACTGTAGAAAAATATGTTTATACTTCACTTTCCTTACTTATAAAAATTCCAGAGTATTCATATTTATAAAACCTGGAGGTCCTGAGGCAACAAATTCTAAATATTCCACTGTTTACAGTATCCATACATGAATTGCAGTATTTATGTTAGATACTTCTTGAAAATCAGCGTAAGAATATTTTTGTTGCTTTCTGTAATCTTTTGCTACTTTTTACACTTTCTCAGCCTTTTCTCTACCTTATTTATATTTTCTGTGATATGCTTTTGTTGGGCCACAGTAGCAGCTTTTCTAAGCCTAATAATACAGTCATGACTTGTAAGCATGGGTAAAGACAATTTTTAGTGATCATGCCCACCCTATTCAACTCTGGACTTTGTTTGAGGTCACGAAACTTAGATGTCCGCTTGGAGTTTGATCTGTGTAAGGAGGAGAAAAATTTCCTACAGAAAAGGAAGAAGTTTGTGGCTTCTGCTCTGAAAAAAGTACTTCATTTAGAGCAAGACCTTCAAGATCATGAGGTAGGGGGAGGACCATAGGGACTGTAACATGCTGTGCAGCAAGAATATGTTATGCTTGTAGCCATTCACATATTATTCCTTAACTAGCCCTGGTACATTCACTGCCACACATAAAATGTTGAGAAATGTTTAGATGAAACATGAGGGCCAGGGTACATATTTATCCAGAAAACAGAATGCCATAAATCAGCCTTTTTTGCCTTTTTTTTTCTGTATTTATTTTTCATTTGTGAATTATAGACTTGAATAGTCCTACTCTTTTAGCTGATCATTCAGTCATCAAGGCCCCATAAGGTATTTTATCGGATTTTTGGAGGGAGAAAATCTAACAGTTAAAGTGATGCATAACAGTGGCTCATGAGGTTTCTTATCACAGACTCTCTCCTCTGGTGATCGTCATCTCAGCTGTAGTTCCTCAAACAACACAAAGACACTGAATGTCTGATCCGCTTGTCTGAGTCAGTGTTCGTATTAGTTCAGCCCATGCTGGCACGGGGGTGGTTGGACCTTCAGGGCGGGAATGCAGTCGGTGATCAGGAACTTCAGAAATAAAGAAGTTTTCATTTTGAGAGTGGGTTTTTTCATCTGTGCTTTTCCCTTTGTCCAGGTGGACCAAAGGCATATTAGGCAATATATGACAGCATCGCTTTGGGAACACATAAATGACGCCCCTGCTCAGAAACTGATTGTATTGTTTCTCATTGGCACACTAGTTTTAGTGAAAAAAACCAGTTTCTTAAGTATACAATTTTTTTAGAGGGAAGTGCTTCTAACTACTCATTTCAGATTTTCCAGCGAGAGAATATTTCCTTATGGTCAGATAAACCCAAATCAAAGTACTTTGCTTTGAACTGAAATGTTCGATTTGAATCAGGAAACAGATGAGTATTTCTTTGATGCAATTGCCTGGAAATGTGTGTAGGAAATGTCAATTGGCTCATTTTCTCTCAGGGGGTTTCTTGGAGGAATTTGTCTTCCTATAACACAATTGAGATTTCCATGCAATTAGGCTTCATCACTGCAATTATATGCTCTAGGTACTTTGTAGAAAATGTAATCTGGCCATTGTATTTGACTTACAAGAGAGGATGAGCTCTGCTTCTTTTCAAACTACAGCTCTCATGTGATGATATTTTGGTAAGGAAAATTCAGTCTAATATTCAAATGCCTTGAAACCATAAGTTCTGAGCAGTTTTGATAAGCCAGAATGCAACCATTTAGAATAAAAAATTATTGATTTTAATAAAAATCCTCATAATCAGCTATTTACCTTTTTTTTTTCCTATGAAAAATACCCAGTTTTCATCTTTTTACCGCTGACTTGGGGAAATGGTGAAATGTTGGAATTTCTTGTGGGACTGAAAGGCTACAATTGACTCAGCTCTGATCACATGTGCTGGTAAAAAAGGTGTTGCTTACCACTGCTGTGTTGATGTTTAAACAGATACCTGTTGTAGCAGTCATGACAACAGGAGGTGGCACCCGGGCACTGACATCTCTGCTAGGCAATCTGCTGGGTCTTCAAAAGCTGGGTCTCTTAGATGCTATTTCATACATCACTGGGTCATCTGGTTCAACATGGTAAGGAGATCCTGAACACAGACATCCTTCATCACTTCTATAGCCTGCTGTGTGAGTTATCTATCCTCTTCATTTTGGTGAAGAAGGATGTACTGGTTCAGTCTCAAGCTTTTTTCATTGCTGCATTAGGAGCACATTGGCTGAGCCAGTGTAGACACTTCTTCCAGGGAACAACATTTTCCTTGACATTTTATTTCAGCTCTAGGATCTTTCCTACTGAGTCACTGTGGTGCATATCACAGCCTTATGCACCTTAATAGCAAGGAGGGGCTTTTTGCAAGTCCTCAGATTTCACTAGTGATTTGGGAGAGTCCTCTGACTCAAAAAATCTTTTCAATAATAAACGAGCCCAAAAGATATTTTTAATGAACTTCAGCTGGTTAATTTGATGTGGACCTTAAACCTAAGTCTAAAAAGTGGGAGGGTCTCAAGCATATGACAATGCACTTCCTTTCTTTTCTGCAGGACTTTGTCACATTTGTATCAGAACACTGAGTGGTCACATACGGATCTATCCAGACCGATTGGTGAAGTCCGCAGACATATGACCAAATGCAAGCTAAGCTGCTTTTCCCTGGAAAGCTTGAAATACTATGCCAAGGAGCTAAAGCTGCGGAAGCAAGAGGGTTACCAGATCTCTAGCGTTGATTTCTGGGGGCTGCTGCTGGAAAAAGCATTAAGTGATGGGGTAGTATTTTCCCTAACAGCTACTGAATACTGTTATATAGAACATGAAGCTCCAGGGCAGATGCTAGCCTGAGAGCATGCCAGCATCTTCCAGCAGATGATTTCTGCTGAATAACGAGGGATATTAGAATTGTTAAGGTTGGAAAAGACCTCTGAGTCCAACCATTATCCTGTCACTGTCATGTTCGCTGCTAAACCATGTCCCCGGGTGGGACATCTACATATGTTTTGAACACTTTCACAGATGGTGATTCCACCACTTCCCTGTTCCAGCCTTCCAGTGAAGAAATTTTTCCTAATATCCAGTCTAAACCTCTCTCAGCACAACTTGAGTCCATTTCCTCGTGTCTTAGTACTTGGAAGAAGAAATCAATCTCCAGTTGTCTACAATCTCGTTTCAGGCAGTTGTAGAGAGCGATAAGGTCTCCTCTGAGCCTCCTTTTCTCCAGGCTAAACAACCCCAGCTCCCTCAGCCACTGCCCATAAGACTCTTTATCTAAACCCTTCACCATCTCCATTGCCCGTCTCCGAACATGCTCCAGCACCTCAGTGTCTTTCTTATAGTGAGAGACCTAAAACTGAATGCAGTGCTCGAGGTGCAGCCTCACGAGTGTGGAGTACAGGGAGACAATCACTGTCTAGGTCCTGCTGGCCACACTATTTCTGCTACAGGCCAGGATGCCATTGCCCTTCTTGGCCACGTGGGCACACTGCTGGCTTGTGTTCAGTCAGCTGTCAAACAGCACTCCCAGGTCCTTTTCTGCTGGGCAGCTTTCCAGCCACTCTTCCCCTGGCCTTAAGGGCTGTGTGGGGTTGCTGTGACCCAGTTGCAGGACCTGGCTCTTCACCTTAGTGAACCTCATACCACTGGCCTTGGCCCATTAATCCAGCCTGTCCAGATCCCACTCTAGAGCCTTCCTACTCTCCAGCAGTTCAACACTCCCAATCAACGTAGTGTCATCTGTAAACTTGCTGAGAGCTTTTTCTCCACATTTCTCTTAGTGCATAATTAGCAGCTCAAGGGGTATTTTGTAGGGCAGAAAACCTGTGTCTCTTTCTACAAGTGTGAGTATCTGAGCATCTAAGTGCAGAGTCCTTACTTGATTTCTTTTCCTCTGTTCCTGCTTGTGAGAGCTTAAATATCCATGTGAAGTGAGTGTATTTACGGGGAAGAACAGAAGATCGTTTTTTCAAAAAATGTCCCACAGCTCTACCTGTATTTAAATAAGCTGATGTGGATTGTAAATGTTTATATCATGCCTTGGTTAAAAAATGTTTGGATTCAAAATGAGTATAGAGAATAAGGAAATTAAGAGGGAAACAGATACCCATTTTGCTGCAATCTTGCAAGCCCATAGACCATGACCAAAAGGTCCCTTGATTTTGCCCTTTGTCTCTCATCAATTCACAGAAAAATAACCACAAACTCTCAGATGAGCAACAGGCATTGAATCAGGGTCAAAATCCCCTACCTATCTACATGATCCTCAACATCAAAGAAGACTACAGCCTTTCAGAGTTCAAAGGTGATGGCAAACCTGGGCTCGCTCGGTGTTTAAATGATCTGCATTATCAGTTACTACATGTGCTGCAACCTCTTGTACTGCTGAACCATGACCTTTATAAACAGTTTCTTTTCCTCCTTAAGTTCTTTTTCCATTTCTAAACTTTGTGTCTAGGCTCTGGGAGGAATTCATCTTCTAGGGGGCAGGAGAAATCTTGGGGAGGTGTTTAAAGACAGCCAAGGTACTTATAAACCTTAGCTCCACATGTGGGGTAACAGGGTGACCTCTTTTAGTATAAACTTCACTTATGTTCTTTGTAGAGAGGGTCACTGGAAAGTTCTGAATGAACGAGACTGGGAAAGATTACTGAGTGAGCAGCTGAAACCAGCTGAATTATACCTCTTTACCCCAAGGAAGGCCAGACTGTGGTTGCCCTGATGATGGGGTTTGTCCTGCAGGTGCTTTTTTACCATTTCAGAGCCCTTCCTGCAGGGGAGTAGGGATAGGAATGAGATTTTAAAGTTTGTTTTGTGTCTCTGCAGAATGGGTGGAGTTCACCCCTTATGAGGTCGGGTTCTTAAAATATGGTGCCTTCATCCGTGCAGAGGATTTTGGCAGTGAGTTCTTCATGGGTCGCCTTATGAAGAAGCTCCCAGAATCACGCATCTGTTTCATGAAAGGTGATGTACTCCGTTGCAAAAATTTGAATTGCATAAAAATGTACTTTATATTTAAAATAAGGCAAACCCTGCATATTGCAACCAGTGCCCGGCGTCATGCAGGACTGAAAACAGTTGTACATCGTGTTGTTCTCACCTCTGACTGAGTTCCTTAGACACTGGAGATGAGCTAAAAAATACTTAGAGGAAATTTCAACTCACATTGTTCACTGTTGCTTTTGTCTTGAATAGTGACTTTCATGCCCTGAAGTTTCAGGGCTGCTTGAAAAGGTAAGGCTCGTTTTGAACCAATCAGCAGCAGAGTTCCACAAAAAACCTGTGTATTTCGAAACTGTAATCTTAAAATCAAATTTGGCTATGAATGGCATGATATTATAACAAAAAGCAATGTTGTTACTGAGATTATTATAAAATATGGCAATTTTTAGTAGTTTTCTGAACTGCTACCAATATTTTTTCAAGTTTAATAGTAGTCTAAATCCTTTGCAATTTTGTTACTTATGATATATCGCTGAGTTTTATTATTCTTATTTCAGCAAAGGAGGTAGCATCCAGCAATTTATGAAAAACAGCTTTGCAGCTTTTATGGAATTCTTCTTTTAATTTTGCATAATACTGGAAATTTCTACTACACCCCTTTGTATGTTCGTTCTCTGGGATGAAGTTGTCTGCAGCCAAGTCCACCAATTCTTAAACCCTTAACAACAGATATTTTACATGCAAATAAGCACATCACACAACAGGACAGCAAAGATACTGGCAAGAAATGGTTTACTTATAAAGGGAAAAATCCACACAAACAGCAACACCATGCATATTGGTGTTCATGCATTGCAGTTTCTCAATAACAGTGGGGTAGTGTGTCCATACCTGAGGTGTCTGGGTAGCAACCACACCCAACACATCCAGCCTGGGCAGAGCTCTCTTCTCTTTGCTCTCAGCACCTGAGGCAGGTGACCCCACAGCCACAGGTCTATCTTCATAAAGGATAAGGTAGAGAGTTAAAGCAATGTTGCCATCTAGTGATATCACATGCAATGCCCTCTTGGGTTACAATGAAAAGGTACTATTAGTAATAGCATGATTGTTTAAGGATAAAAGCAAGGTGTCATTTGCGAGGAGAGGAACAACCTTTTATAAGAGCAGCGGCTAGAGCCGGAAAGACTGGATGAGCTTATGGGGATATAAGATCCTCAGGTTTCCAGAAGAATGCCTGGGGTGTATGAAAGCTTGTCTGCTCTTTTTGTCTCTGTCAGCCTACTAAAAGATACTGTCTCTCTCCATAGTACTTACTTCAGCAAATATAGGTACTAAGAATATTCAATACAAGAGGTTAGGGCAACATTGCTATGTAATTATAACCAAGTTCTGGGGACATAACAATATTTGAAAGACATTTAAATGCAGAAACAGTGTCCAAGGGCTGAGGGAGCTGGAAGAGTTATGGAGTGAAAAGACAGCAAGAGAAACCAGAGGAGTTGCCTTCTCACAGCAGGGCTGAACAGAAGCTTCTCAAGCTGCAGAGAGAGGAGGTTGTCTTGACAGAAACTAGCCAGTAACTATGTGCAAATGAACTCTGGTTGCTACCTAAGTGTAGAGCCAGAGAGCCCCAATGTGATTTCTTAATTATGAATTTTTAACATTTCTTAAGTCAGTCCTATTCTTACAAGAACTTCCTATGAAGCAGACCCTTGGCTTCCTGTCCCAATTCATGAGCAAACCAGGTTTAAAAGGAAATTGTTGATCTGTTACTAATTCATGGAATGAAAAATTGTTGTACTGCACAACTCAAATTATTGCATCCTTTGCAATGTATGGCTTTCACAAAACTTTCACTGATGGAGATTTTCAAGGCAAAGCATAGCACTGCCTTTTTCCTCTCAAGGCCTGTGGCACAGTTGTGGAGGAAGAGATACTTTCCAAGATCCAAGAGACTTCTTGAGATTTCTGCACTTCAGAGATATTTTTAGATGTTCTTTTAAGTGGGAGGGAAAAAGTGGAAGAAGGACTATGGGGGTGAGAATAATGAGGAGAGGAAGAGAAGTCTTATTGACAAGACCTCGTGCAAAGAGAAATCTTACAAGGGACACTGAAGATGTCTTGTATTAAAGGACTGTTCTGCAGACAATCCCAAATTGTGCTCTAACCATTTGACTCTTAGCTGTCCAGGAGCAGCTTCCAAACTTAAACTGAGTATCCACCTGTACATGACATAGTTTGTAGACCAGACCCTTATTTTATAGGAAACGATTTGGGTTTGCTCTCTGATGACAGTTGTCTATAGTACGGAAAATGTTGGTTTGTATGTGGCAATGAATTATAGTGGCTAAAGGACTTGCACAGTGTTTAAAACTGTTTAGGTTCCTCTTTGGGGACAGAATACTAGTTGCTAAAAAGAACTTCACACAAGTTTTGGTGATAATTTGAAAACCTTGAGTCTTTCCAACACCCCTTGCAAAGCTGAGAGGTTATTTTTTTTTTAGGGTTATTTCCCATTGAAACGTTTCTGAAGAAGTTTCCCTGTTCTCTACCACTGTACAGGCCTATGGAGCAATGTCTTTTCCTACAATCTCTTGGATGCCTGGCATTCGTCAAATCCTACAGAAAGGCGCTCACTGAGGTGTACCCAACACAGAGTTGTTGATGTTGGTTAGTTAAATTTCTGTTTTATCTCATAAATCTGAAGATTTCATGTTGCCAGTTATATTTAACTAGGTTTCCCCTCTGAATTCTTTCACAGCAACATTATTTCCATTAGTTTCCCTTGGACTGAATTTATGCAAATATGAAACTATTCAAGCTTATAAACAGTCTTTGCCAGGGGCCCTTCAGGGAACTTTCATGTGCTAACAAACATGTCAGTGCTGTGTTCTCTCTTTGCCTCAGCAGATGGTGCTTTTCTTATGTTGTTGTTGAAGACTTAGATAAAGCAATTATGTGGAGCTCCATTCCAATTTTCTTTGATCTTGTTGTAAACCTGTGTTTTCCTTAGAGGTGTTGACTGTCCTTCTTTTGTTCAAATGTGGTTAGTGAGTTTGGTTTACGGGCTTTTCATCACTTTCTCCCATGGAAGTGTTGCAGAATCCCAAGCTCAATAAAAGCCTGTGATAGAAAGTCATTGGCCCCTTTCCCAATCTGATAAGGTGCCATTTAGCACAACCCTTTTTCTATGCTCTTTTCTGGATGTCTAAGTCTCCTGACAGCTTTTTATTTTTCTTTTTTTTCTTTTTTTTTGCAAAGCCAGTTTGTATCAATTTTGAAAGAATTGGGTCCAGATTCTCAGCCTACCCTGAGCTTCACACGGGGAATCAGCCTATGGGTTCTATCAAACAGGAGATCGCTTTTTCCAGCTTGAGCAAGTTTGTTGTCATTTTGACTCTGTTTTTCATGGAATATGCTTTACTGAAGATTGATTTCCTTCTTGTTCCTACTTTGACACTTATTTAATTGTATGTTGCCATGTCTTATTAGGATCTTCTTTTCTCTAGCAAGTATTAGATGCCTTCTGGTATTTTAAGCATTGCAAAGAACTGTATCAAAACAACAATTTGTTCATTTCTCTCCCCTTCAGAAGATGAGCCCTCCTCACCAGATGGGAGCCATGAGTTGGAGACTTACTTAGTGACCCCTGAATGTGGTATTGTGGGCATTATTCGGCGGCTACTGACAGAGCGGGTGATTTTTTCAAAGTTCTACAACTTCCTGAAGGGATTTCAACTACACAATGCATACCTTCAAAGCAAAAACTTCTGTATGTGGAAAGGTAAACACCCCTGAATATTATTTGCTACCTTCTTATATGTTTTTTTTCATCAGTGAAGAGAATGCAGAGAATGAACATTTGAAAACAAATATTTCAAGATAACTATTTAAATTTCATCCAGACAAATCAGCTTTCGGAATTCCCTTGATTCCATGGAAAAGTAATTACTGCTCTTCAGAGTGAACAAAGAGCAACATGAGAATTGAAAGAGCTGTGTCTTTTTACCTTGAACAGGTCTCTCTTTTCTGTGTCAAGTCTGAGCTTCTGTAGTGTGCCAGGATCTTGGAAAGAAAATGTAATGGAGAGTAAAGAGTAATTTTTTTCTCCCTTAATAGTCAAAACCCAGATATATTGCTTCTTCAGTGATTCACTCATTGTAAAAAAATATTTCCTTTTAGATACTGTACTAGAACACTTCCCCAGCCAGCTGACACAAACAGCAGAATTCATGTGCCTGGCAGACACAGCAGGATACATCGATATTAGCTATCCACCACTCATGAGGCCGGAGAGGAAAGTGGATGTTGTCCTGCACTTAAACTATTCTTCTGGATCACAGACACTGGTGCGATGACCACTCTATTTTCTTTGATAATGACTGCTGCCTTTTAGTCCTCTTAGCCCTCCTTAAGTCCTGACGATACAGAATAATTTATGTAGAATAAACTGATGGGAGAGAAGGATTCTTGGGCTGCAGATTCCATTGTGCAGATGCCTAGGTCTCTCAAGTGGTGCTGGTAAAACGTGGCAAATCTCCCAAAGACAACATTAGTAGTATAAATTTTTCTAAATATTTCATTTTAATTAACCCTCTAACAGCTAAATGCTATCTCCTAGACATGTGTGCTCCTTTGATCTTGATATGGCTGTCAAGACAACACTTCACATGGAGTGCTTATCTGGTACTGTGACCATCATTGATGAACTCGTTTTGGTTGTCTTACGATATCCATCTAAAGTTACCCACATGCAGTATAATTAGAAGTAATTTGTCCAGTTGTCCTTAGAACAGTAACTGATTTTTTTGTTGTTGTTTCAAATTGTGGAAAAGAATTGTCCTTTGACAGCATATCTGCTTTTTCAAATACCAACTAATAATCTGGTATATAATTTCTGTTACTAGATATGGATAAGACAAAAGTTCTTGAAGATAAAATTTTCATACGTGCCAACCAGACTCAGAAAAAAAGAAATCCTCTTTTCAAAAATTACTGCAAGATTGACATTTCAGTTTAGATGGTGTTTGCTCCCAGATCACTCTTTCCTTACATCACTTTTCAGAAACATCCTAAGGCATCTAAAACAGTTAGAGGCTTTTAAATATTTCATACTGAGTCAAAAAAGTGTTTGTACTTTTCTGAATCTACGTTTAAAAACTGTACTATTTCAGATTCCTGTCCATTCTTCTCATTTCAGGATTTTCTCCAGGAGAGGTGTGTTTCTGTGTCCTAAGCTTGTAGGCCATCCTTCTTACAGCCTTGAACATCTTACCTGTCTTGTAGGTTAAGGCTGTTGAGGAGGGTGAGGTAGAACAACCATCAGGAGTGCAAGTTGGAGGCTGAGCCCTGAACTGTTGTTCTGTTAATAACTAGTACTTAATATCTCATGTAAGAGACAAGGACAGAAGAAATATTGACAGCAAACCCTGCTTCCATATCTGTATGAAGGTCTTTTGATGGATGCATTGTGCATTAGGAAAAGTGGTGGGGTGTGACAAAATTTCTGACTTTTTCTTTTTTTTGTCTGAATTCAGCCTTTGGAAGAAGCCTCCAAGTACTTCCAAAAACAGGGAATCCCATTTCCCAAAATCCACATGAGTGAAGAAGAAAAGAAAAATCTAAAGGAGTGCTACATCTTTGAAGACACAGAGACCCCAGAGGCACCGACAGTGGTGTTTTTCCCACTGGTGAATGACTCCTTCAGAAAATACAAAGAGCCAGGTAAGCAATGGGACAGAGATGGTCCTCCCACCACCTGCCTGCTCGTTGCCTATGTTGGGATGGGAGACGTGGTCTAGTGTAGTCTCCTTCCTCCCCTGCTGTGCTTCCCATGTGAGAGAAATGCAATTGTCAAGGTAGTGAGGAGCAGCTTGTGCCCCACCTAGAAAGTGGGAGGTGGGACCAAATCTCTACCCCATTGACAACCTTTCTTTATTTGTCAGGTGTGGAGCGCAGCCCTGCTGAGATGGCGCAGGGCAACGTGGATGTTTCCACCATTTTTTCCCCGTACTGCTTAAACAGCTTTACCTACAAAGGGGAGGATTTTGACAAGCTGATAGAACTGACCAGCTACAACATTCGGAACAACGAACACCTGATCCTTCAGGCTTTGAATTCAGCCATAGAGCAGAAACGACAGCGCAAAAAATAAACACTCTCCTGAGTTTCACAAAAATATCCGAATGATTTTTTTTTTCTTCCTGCAAAAGAATCAAGACCTGCCTGTGAATGAGCACAATAAACTTTGGAAACTACAGACTTGTCTCAGCCTGTGGTTTCTCTCTACCACATGGCAATCCTAGATAAACCAATCAAACAAAATAATGATTAGGCTTGTGCTTTACTTATGTTGGCTTTCACTGCTGGTGAACTTTTTTTTTTTCATGCAGTATATGCATGTAAGTTAAAGATTAGGAAATATGGGGTTAATTAGCAAGTTTTTTAAATGCAATAATCTGGGACAGCAGTACAAATTCTTTCAAAATTCAGTACATTACCAGAAGTTATATGTGAAGACAAATTAGCTAAATTAGCTAAAATTAGCTACTTATATATTTAATTTATTATGAATCTAGTGCAACAGAAAAATACAAAATAAATTTAGACAATTTCAAAGAACATGAAAACTATATTTTCCATAGTGTCAGTAAGAAATTTTGTTAGAAATAATGTGCCAAGATAAACATAAAAGATAATCTGAGGTGTCACATGGAAAATACACATTTTCTATACTTCTGAATGTAAAAGATTTATTACACCAGCAGTATTTAGTTTTTGAAAATCTCTTGGAAATTCAAACCATACTGTGAGTCAGGATCAGCTCTTCTAGTGCAGGTGCAAGAGCTTAATCCATGGTTCTGCTTTTCACTGAATTGTCATGGTATTTAGAGGATCCAGCCCAGTATCCATGTCCCATTAATTTCAATAGTTTATGTAGTATTTCTTGTTATTATGGGATGTGAGAACTAAAACACCAAAAAGTGAGAGACAGATTTTGTGGTCAGAAGGCAAGCTAAGTTCTTCACACTGATATCCATGGGTAATTCATGGGTAATGACATTGTCAATCCCAGAATGTCTACAAGCAACACAGGATCTATGCAACTACTGTGAATAGCACAAGGTAATTTTTTGGAACTGCTTATTTTTGAGATGAAAACCGAAATAATTGTTTGCTTTATGAAGGATTTTAGTAAGAAAAATACTATATAAACCTGTTAAATTACAACAAAGATACTAATCTAAAAAAAAGATTTAATGCTTCAGTCAGCCCTTAATTACTTCAAATTTAAATGAAATGCAGCAACTTGTCTGTGCTGAAGTAACACGTAATGGCAAACACAGAGCTATGAATATCTTGTATTTTAACCAAAACAGAAAGTAAATTTTTAATTTGAAAAGGCTGAAAATTTCTCTTCCTTCTTGCTATCCTAATCTGTCTCTCTCCCTTCAAGCATTCCTTTATGCCATGTCTTCCTCTAGCCTTTGTTGACTTTAGTCTCCCATGCTCACCTCTGATGAACTCAGACCCTTGGGTGTGCTGTGTCCTTAACCCAGCTGATTTTCCAGGCCCTTACACCTTTGTCCAATTTGCAGCCTTGCTTCAAACCTCTCATGTGCTGAAATGGCTGTTTACTTCCTGGTGCTCATCAAGGGCTCCCCTCTTTGTGATCTCTGTTGCTGAGTCATCTGGTGCCTCTGGGCATTGCCTCTCCTCTGTCCCAGCTCTAACTCCCTCCCAGGCTTCCCTGATTATCATTATGACAAACCCATTTGGTGTGACACATGCATTTGCTACTTCTCCCAGCACCCCATCTTGTAGCTGAGGTTTCAGGCATCCTAAAGATCTGCAAATGAAGTTCCTACCCTGGACATCCAAGTCCTTTGATGACACCAAATTTCAAGAATCCTGCCTCTCTCTTCCCATCTCTGCCTTTAACTGTATCCTTTTGCTTCCCTTGATGTCTTCTTCTGTTAAACCGGCAACAGCTAGTTTAACAGAGGCAGGTCCCATTTATTCCCAGTGGATCGCTGCTGCACCTGCCAGTGGCTGAGTGTGTCCCACCTCCCAGCAGTTTGACCAGACCCACATGATAGCTCCTAGTGATGCTCTCAGTGTGGGAAAAGCTCTTAGACCATAACTGGATCTTCTTGTCAATTCTCCCCCTGCAATCCTGAAACATCCATGCCTTTCTTCTTTCAGATAAACCCACAGTCCCCTGAGTTGCAAGCAAAGCCCTTGCTTGTTACCCTGAAAATACCTACATGCCCTGCATTGCTACAGACCCTTAAAAAGGTCTGGCTAAAGCCTGCATCCAGACAAGCTTTTCATAGGGCACCGGCTGCCTTCACCCAGAGATATGTAGCAATCCCTTGAGCAGAGGGGAAAAACACCAGCCCCATCATGTCATCTGCAGTTGTTTTCTTCTTCTCTGAGATGTAGAAGTGTCTCCAGGTGATTGCTCCTTAGTAGTGGCCTGTTCTGACTACTGTCCATCAGCACTCCCGGTCAATGTTTAGTAGAGGTGCTTTGTTTGTGACTTAAGGGGTTGGTTAATTTGGTAGGCTCAACTTGCTTTTTATCATTGCCTTTATTAATTAATTGCACAGAATGCTTGGAGAAGATCCTTGTAATCCGTTCTTTCAGGCCAGCATGGAGGTTTTGTGTGGCTTTGTCTGCTGGCATTTTTCATTCTGGTTCAGCTGTTAATGGGGTATGCTTCCTGTGCTCTGCCTCTGGGCTGTACTGAGGCATTGAAAGAATGTAGGTAACAGCTGTAAATGTGGGCATTTAAAAGCCCTTTTTGGCTTTGCAGTTTGGGAGTGTCCCCTTTTACAGGAAAAAGGAGTGTCTTCATGGAATTATCCCTTCAAGAGAGGAAATACAATTGTGGGGAGAGAAGCACTGCAAAAATCTAAGACCATGCTGTATCATGGTGTTAGTATCAGCAGGAGTTTACATGATTTTTCCTCAATGTTTTAGAAGATAAAACTCTTGGCAGATGTGGTAATAGGAACTACAAACACTAACATGCTGACCTCCTTACTTGTAATTAATATGTTTTGCATCTTTTCTGTGTCTGGCTTTTCCTTCTTACCTATTCATTATCTACAAGTAAGTGAAGGGATTAGCATGCAATTGCACCTTTGCCCCAGCCCTTCCGATTATCACTAAGGTGCATGAAGAACTGGGCAGCTTGGTGGGGTGACTCAGACCACAGGAACCTAAGGAAAGCAGCGGTGGGATTCTTTAACCCCTCACAAGGCATGTGAGAATTTGGACAGTCCTATTGGGTGAGTGCCACTTAGGAAGCAGAAGCTAATGGGATAGTTGGCAGCAGCATTTTACACTGTTCTGTAACACAAAAAGTGATCACACAAGATTATTGCAAACATTCTAAGTGAAGTGAGCTATTCATTTATGTGACTACAGGTTGCACCACATGAGTAATGGGAAATATGTTTGCCACAGCAGATAAAGAACGTGGGTGGTAGAGACGTACTCCCTTTTGAGAAACCCTGTGCCAAAACCTGCTCACATGTACAGCTTTGCTGTGTGTGTACAATATCGCACTGTCTTACTAGAGTGGTAATGCTGCAGAGGAGGCCGTCAGGCTCTCATTTCCTCATGGAGGAATACCATACCTCATACATACCATACCTGGCCATGGTATGCTGGTCAGCAGTTAGCAGTGGGTGAGAGCTGTGTGTCCCTCATGCCATTCAAATTTTGTACCTCTGAGTTCCTCCTGAAGGTCTGTCCCTTGTAGGGTTCCAGCTGAAGCCCAGCACACCTGCAGCGTTCATAAAGCACTTCTCCCACACCTCCACCTGATGATATCAAAACTCTAGAATATCCTGTCATGTCTTCAGTTGCTTCCTCCCAGGGCTCTGAGGTCTCCTTGATATTCCCTTCAACACCCTATTGCTTATCTCTTTTTCTCTGTGCAGTTGGATATCTCATCCAGATGTCCCAGGTGTGTCCCCTAATTCTTGTAATATTCATGCTTATTCCAAATATGACCAAACCTCCATCATTCAAAATTGAAGCTTCTGGAGGTACAATTACAGTATGGAGGAGACATGTGAGACAAAGGGGAAAGATTAAGAAAACAGAAGGTATAAAAAGCAAGGAGGGAGAAAGGAGAGAAAGGAATCAAACTATAATACTCAAGAAAATGTGAAAAATTGAATTACAGCTATGTGGAATTGAGATGGACAAAGGAAGGAAATACATATTTTGGAAATCCAAGAAGTCAATGGTAAAGAAAGGGTGGCAAGGAATAGAAAGAAGAAAAGAAAGAGGAAATCAGGAAAAAAAGGTGGTGAAGACAAACATTTAAAATGGAGATAATGATATATCCCTCCTCTAGTTTCTTCAAAGCAATCGTGATAGACTGGTCCTTTAAAAAGAATAGCAACCAAAAGTCTCTAATCCAGAAAACGTCATGACATTAAATCTCACTGCTAGAGTTCTGATAATTTGGTTTTACAGACACCTGATATGCATACTGTGAGTGCTTCCTAGCTCCCAGCTCTCTCTTCTTTTTTTCTGCCTTTAAACACTGGGAAAAGATAGTCTTTGTCCTCTAGGAGACTGACTTTTCCTGCTGACTGCTGCTTATTGCACCCTTCTCTCCCTCAGCTAATAATCTGTAAATTAGTTTGCTCCCCTTCTATTTCCTTTCTTCTGCTGAGGCAGTGGAGTATCCTTGAGACTGATAACTATCAGCTAAGGAGCTGCAAGTTTCTACATAAATTAGTGTGCACTTCCAAATCTTGAGCAATTGACAGTTGTTTCATTAATTTTGCAATTTCTGCTATTCAGCTGGATGACACCCAGTCTTAAAAGAAAGTCATGCTCCAAATTCCTCCTTAAGCTGCACTTCTTTTGGCTTAGTATCTATCAAACCAAATATGATGTAATTTGGTTTTGAGATTTAAATATATGACGTAATTTGGTTTTGAGATTTAACAGGTGATACCTTAGAATTTGTTAAAGATTAAATCCTTTGGTTCCACGTACAGATGAGTATTCAGAAAATCCTTCATAGTCTTGGTCACTCCTAATCTCTAGTCCATGCTCTCTGCAGATGTGGTACCTGATGGCCTGTAACCCACCGTGGGAGGAAGCACTGTACTGGTTATATTG